TAAGGATAGATTAGAACACATGTGTGTATGTGTGGCAAGGATTTGTTACTATACTTCGGCCCACGAGAGAACATTATCTTTTCGCACGAATGTAGGCTGATAGCACTGACCAGTCCGAGCTACAATTCCCCCACTTTGTGCCGCGACGGTATAGGTTGCATAAATATATATTATAGCGTAGAGCGATGGTTGCCGATCGTACTGAACGTTAACGACCAGTAATATTGTCGTTGAGTGAGAGACGCGCGGGATCGGAAGCATTTTGTTCGGGACACGGTCTTTCGTGGGCCAGTGTATAAAAGCCCGGGTGGTGACCCATCCGGGAACTAGTGACACCGACTAGTACTTGCACTCAGAACATGATTTGTGAATGAATGTAACCAGCAACACACAATATATAGAACATATTATATGTTAATACTAGGTACCAAATAATAATTTATATTTTACATTTATATTGGTTTACAACATATATTACTATATTATATTAATGATATTTTTTAAATCAGTTAAGTTAAGGTCATTATTAATTTTTCAATTAAATTATAAATGAAGTTAATATACATTTTTAATACATCAATTAAGTTTAAAATTAAGTTGACAAAGACCATTAGCTTAACTTAGATTCAATTAGTAAGTTAAAAAAAAAAGTCAGTCTGACATTAAGTTTCAATTGGGTCACTCTATAATGGAAGGTATTAAATTTGAATTCAATGATACAATATCATTGTATAAGAAAAACGATTCTGAGTGAAAACGATCAGTCATGATATTACTAAGTATATTTGATAATATTAAGGTGAATAAAGTAATTTATAATATATAACCTATTTACGTGGAATCTTGTTTTAAATTCTCAATCCTTATCTATAAAAGTTGAACATTTTATAAATTTTTTAACTACCCAATATCACTTAGGGCCTTTCTTACAATGTCCGGTACATTGGCGGTTTACGCAAACCGACTGATAACTGATTTTATTACCGCCAGAATTCTTTAACGAGACAATGTTGATTTAACTTTATCAGTCCCACTTAGTTATTTTGGTTAATAAAATATGTACCATACCGTATACGTATACAATATACACTATAGATAGGTAGTAGGTACATTACCCGTTTTGAATCTTACATTCTTACCCATAACATACCTATATTTGTAATTATTGAGATCATGGTATTATTTATATATTGCTTTGGGTGTTCGTAACAATACTTTACTAATTATATTGTTGGTCGGCACACAAAATAAACCTTTTTAAAAAGCAGATGAAAAAAAATTAAAAATCCATAGTCACAATTTTTTTTTATAAACATTTGAAGTTCAAATATTGAAAAAGGTGCTCTGCTGTACCTACAGTAGGTTATAATTGGGTCACTGTATAATGGATGGTATTAAATTTGAATTCAATGATATAATATCATTGTATAAGAAAAACGATTCTGAGCGGAGATGGTATGTCAGTCTAGGTATAAGGCATACTATATACTTATCTATGGTATTAAAAAAAATTGACCTATAATAGGTACCTATGATAAATTCCAAATTAATCATATCGCAATATCCATTAGGTACTTATAACGCATTATACATCAACAACAAACCCTGATACTATCATAGATATATAATAGTGTACTTTAGAAGTTTCAAGTACCCACGAATAATATTATACAATCACAACAAAATAACTAAAATAGTTATTCTAGGTTTTTTTATTATATAATTTCGTCCAAATTTGAACTTAAAATGGCTATAAAAATAAAAGGTGCTTACGCATTTTTATATTTTTTGGTAACAGAATTAACTACTTACGTGGAATGTGGAATCTTGTTTTAAACTTTCAACCCTTAGATATAAAAGTTGAACATTTTTAACAATTTTTAACTACAAAATACTTATACCAATTTTAAATTTGATAAATTTTGTCAAAATTCGATCTTTAAAGTTTAAATGCTTTTAAAAAAATTGTGCTTATGTATTTTAAAAATTTTCAACTGATATTGTAACAATATATTAGGAACCTTGTATTACATTTTTACACTTTTTGGCCCAACAGATAAAACTTAATTGATATTTATAAAAAAAAAATACTAAAAAAATTGAAAACTGAAAATGTCCGTAAACAGCTCAAAAAGAGTCAAAATATTTTATTTAATTAAATATTAAAAATTTTATGGTGTATAGGAAATGCTAATATAAACATTCAGTAAAAATTTCATGTATCTACTGTTATTAGTTTTTGAATTACAACAAAATAAGGAAATCGCCACATGAGAATCGAATGAATATCCAATGTTGTAAAACTTTGAATTTCAAACGGTCATAAAGATTTAATTTGACTTTCTTACAGACATTTTTTTTTGATATATGTAGAAAATCTTATAATGAATCTTGTATTACATTTTAAATCTTAGATTTAAAAGAAAATTTTTTACGAATTCTTAACTCAAAATAATTTGCTAATTTTCGGGATTTTCCATATTTGTCAATTTTTGAACTTTAAATGCTTGTAAAAAAAAACTATGACTAAGGATTTTTAATATTTTTCGTCTGCCTTTGAAACAATATACTAGGAGCCTTCTATTAAATGTTCAAGCTTTATTAACCAACAAATACATTTTTATTGATATTTTTAAAAAAAAAAACTAAAAAAAAAAAGGAAAATGAAAATGTGCCTAAACAGTTCAAAGTAAATCAAATATTTGAATTTATCGTGTATAGAAAATGCAAATATAAACAACCAGTGAAAATTTCATGTATCTACGGTCATTTTTTTTAAAGTTACACTAAAAACCAAATTCAATTTGTGAAATGATTTTAAATTTTGACCTCCCAATGCATCAACGATATTCACTTTCCAATCGAACAAGATACTGAAGTTGAAAATCGAAGCGTTATTTCGACTACTTATCGTGTACACAGACACAAATAAAAAAATAAATAAATAAAAAAAAAAACACACATCGTTGTAAAATCAATACATTCATCGTATACCTAACTATGATTTATTTAATATAGATATAATATAATGTTTTAACTAATGTCTAATACGATTTACGAATACGAATTAAATCACTTAAAATGTTTTATCTCACTCTTTTAGGAAAAAAGCAGCATTAGCTTTTTTCGTTTCAGCTTGTTTCAATTTCTGTTCCCATTGATCCGTCTTATATCGTTCAGCATCTAAATTTTGTTCCATCTTTAATAAACGATCTGCTTCCAATTCCTTCGCTTTCTGAACCTCATTGAATTTAATTTGAATAGATCTCTCTCTAAGCACCTATAATAATAATATCCGACCATCATAACATACTACATAAATTTGATTATATAATAATCATGTGAAAAATGATTACTAGGTAACGTAAGTTAAACAACCTGAGACAAATTATAAAATAACTATTTACTAGTATAATATAGGTAGGTAGGTACTCTATTTCAAATGAGAAAGCACCAGGCGGCGAATGAAAAGTGATAAGTGATAAGAATTAATCATAACCGATAACGTGGTTATTACCATGGTCGTTTATTATATTGATAATGAAATGGATCGTACAAAAAATTTTTCCTGCGAATAACCGTTCGTACATTATCTGGTTAGGCCAAGTGCTACTATCTAGCGAAATATTTGGTAACTAGGTTCAGGAATTCATCAAACACCACTAGAGTAAAATATATAAAATGAAAAAATCAATATTCACGTTTTTAAAATTTGGTGGGTTAGGCCACTCTTGCTCTCATAGCCTCATTTGTTTAGGTACCTATAGGTATATTACCTACTGAATCTTTCAATAGCCAAATAAATTACATGGCAATTCGTTCTCAATCGCATTCTTTTATTTGTTTATTTTGGGTCAGCTGTAAGTTCTTTGTTAATTTTAAGTGTTCTTAATCGGTGGATAGCCTAAAATAGAAATCCATTTTTTATGATCTTTTGAAATTTGATTTTTTTTTGATATTTGATATTCACCTATTAATTATAACGATCATGAGTCATGGAATGATTTTCTTATTATGTTGTAATTCAAAAACGAATAACTATAAATATCACAATATTTGTATTGGTACAGCATAGTATGATATATCTAAGTAGTAGTTATCTATTCAAATAAGAACAGAGGTCCACCGGGAATTTTCTCAGCTTAGTGGCGGCCCAGTCCTCCACTGTAACTACCTACCATTTCATTTTTATTTATCTACATAGTGGACGAGATCATGTAATATAATGATATGGTTAGTTAGCGCATGTACATTTTATATAGGTACCTATTAATTATTATGTTGACCAAGTTTTCATGTTTTAATATAAATTTTTTAGATTTGTAAATTGTATTATTCTGTAACTATACCAACCTATGTGTTTTAAGTCAAATACTTACGAAGAACGTATTTTATTATGAAATACTAAATAATTATTGAAAGAAAGTGTTTCTCATAGTATTTAAATCAGTTCTTCGCTTTTCTCTTGTATAGCAGGCATGATCATCAATTGCCTGACTTTGTATCGTCTTTGGCCTATATTATTGTATTGTAGGAGTTGTGAATGTTTTGCATTTTAATGTATGCATGTCTAGTTGTTCATAAATGGCTTATTTCATCTTTAATAATTCATCATATATGCAGTTCATGGTAGTTATTTCAGTAGTAATTGGTGATTCCAGGGATACATTTTGAACATTTTTCTATAAATTATTATTATTTACTACTGTTGGTTTTTAAATTATGTTTTGTATATTGGTACATAAAAATATTATTTATTATCATATTTTTATGATAACATTTTAATTAATTAAAAATGTGGATACTGAATATGTGAGCTACATCGGCGTATAATGTGGGGGAGGGGCTATGGGGGAATTTTGCTTACCCTACCACCAGTAAATAATTTTTTAGTTAAATGTTTATAATTTATTTTGTGTATCCGAAACATTATTTGTTTCAATTATTATATAATTATATAATAATACTCAAAATTATTTGTAACAACCCCCCCCCCCCTTTTATAAATTTATCACGTTACGAGTATAACAAAACAATATTATAAATACCGTAATTCTTTCTTGGTCCATATCCAAATAATGTCGTATTTTATTAATGTTTTCAAGAACATTTGCTAATAATTTATTTCGACGAGTATTTGATTTTAATAAGTCAGTTACTGAATTCCGTTGTGAACTAATTTTATTCTGAAATAAAACAATTTATAAAATACTACCAACTTAAAATGTATCTTAAACGGCTATTCTTTAATATTATATAATACTTCTAATATTTTTATTTCTAGAATAAAACGTTCCTTTGAATCTTTTGCTTCAGACTTAGATTTAATAATCATGTAATCAATGATGGTCATTTCCATTTGGTCTAAAGAATTCCAATTCGTTACAGTTTTAAATTTCTTTATCATTTCATCTTTAATGGCTATATTAATATTTCTCAAATCCTTCTCCATTTTGGCTATTTCAATGCGATCCTTTTTTGCACATAACTTTTCTTTTTGTAAAATGTTTATTATCTCTTTTTCCTCTTTTTTTTTAATTCCGCTGCTCTATTTGATATATCTTGTATAATATTTCCATATAATAAGATACTACTTTTCAATGATTTAGCTTTAGTAATTTGAGATTTATGAAGTACAATCGTGGTATAAACATCATTTAGTTTCATTTGTTTTTTTATCTATAATTTTAATAATCATAAAAATCTATAAGTCCACCATTATAGGTATCTAATTAAATAAATAAAATTATATTTTTAATAATCATCAAAAATATAACATGTATACTAACATAGGTTCATAGATACTTGAGTATACTACAAGTATACTCATGTACTTACCTACAGTGTACAAATCAGTTTAACTTCTATTCGCATTTTATTCAATTTAAACAGATTGTCATCAAACATTTTGATTTTCTTTAACATTGTTTCATGCAAATGCATATGTCTGGATTTTATCAATTCTCATTTGTCGCATAATGATTTCTTCATGAGTAGACTCTTCATAAAAATATGCATTTTTATTCAAAAGGCTTAGGTAATTCAGGATTAAAAATCAAATCCATCCAATCACAGTGATAAATCGGTTCAAACGAATCAATTAAGTTAGGCTGAAATACAATTATAGAAAAAATAAGCAATTATAGATAGATATGTACGTATTTCCTGTAGGTATCTGAGGACTTATATGTGCGTGCTACAAATACAATATTATGTAGTAGGTACTAAAGTATTTAAACCACTATAACATCATACGATTATTATTTATTTTTGGGGGTTGAGGCTTCAACTACTGAGGTTATTAGCCTGTGGAACTGTAGGGGATGGAACACTTGTGTGTTTGGCAGATTTTTTAGTGGGCATCCGTAGGTATCTGATATGCCCGGGTGGGGGATGGCGGCACTTCTTCTCCGGACACCGTGACTTGCCCGAAGAAAAATTCCGCCCGCGGTCGGGGCTCGAACCGGCATCGGCTGCGTCGAAACCGACGCATTAGACCGCTCGGCCACTCTATCCCCCATTATTAATAGTATATCATTGTAACATTTCATCGAGTATTTTCCACTGGACCTCCCAATTTTACCTCTATATAATATCAGTGGTAGCATAAAATCGATTTTTAAATTTTATAGGTTTTATAATTAATATTAATTTTTAAAACTATATATATATTTTTAAAATTCGAAATTGTTCAGGACACAACTTATGTACGCCTCTTTTATTATGGGACACAACTATTTAACTGCATACTGAGTATTAGAAGCATAAAGAAACTTTGATACTTAAGATGGATCATGGATGGTAACTATAGAATTTATACTTTATAACCTAACCATGGTTATAGCTAAGAGGAGGACTCTATAAAAATTAAAAAGTAATAATGCAAAAATTTTATAATAATAATATTTTACTACAGCTTTATGGAGTATATTAATTCTTATCAATAGATTCATCCATTAGGACTTCAGGGAAATCTGATGGCGTTATTATTTCTGGATCATTTAACTTCTTTTGTATCATACTAATATCAAACTTGAATTGTTTGTATTCGTGTATTAATCTTATTTTTTGTGTTCTGAGATCGGAAACTTTTTCATTAAAAGTTTTTTCATAATGTGTATCTATAATAGACTATAAATTATAAAAATCTATTTATAAATATTTTAAATAATGGAAAATTAACCTTATCTTTAACTTCCTTGTAATTTTCAAACGAATCTTCCATTTTAATTATTAAATTTTCAGTCACTTTAAAATGTGATCCTGATTTCAAGTTCAAATAACCAATAGAATCCATAGTATTTTCTAGTAATGCCTCTTCTTCGATTATTATCTTCACCTGGCTTATTTTTATACATGTCTTGAATTTCAAGAATTTGCTGATTTTCAAAATCTTTTCTTGCAGCAAACTTATCAAAGGCAAACTGAATTTTCTTTGGTAAAGACGAATACTTTTCTCGTACATTTCGAAGAAATATATCTGTTTCAGAAACCCCAAGTATGAGATTGGGAGTAGGTTTGCTTACAACTGTCATTTCCCGTTTTCTACATAAACATAATAATAGGTAGTACTAATTAATTTAAATATAGTTAAGATTATTTGCTATTTTTACTGACACGCTAAACTAAAAATTGTAAAGACCTTGCAAAGTCTGGGACTATTATTTCCTTTATAGACTTAGCTGTAGCGTTAGTCAAGAAAATACTATTTTGTGTTTAATTATTGAAAAGAAAATTATGATCACATATCTAAGCCAATTAAATGTTAAATGTGTACAACGGATAAAAATATATTACAACTTCAGAATTCTTTGGAGATCATAAAAAAAAAAAATTTTAAAAAGTCTGCATCCGAAATACCATCTCTTAGGACTTAGAGGGTCCCGCCGTGAACCACTTTTTTTGCACTTTCCTAAAAAAAAAGAGGGGGTACTGTAAGATTTGAACATGTGTGTGTTTGTTTTGACAGAATTTTTAAGTGGGCACCCGTAGGTATCTGCCAAGCCCGGGCGAGGCCACCAAGCATCTCTTTCCAGACACCGCAACTGCCTGAAGAAAAATGCCACCCGTGGCCGAGTTTGAACCGGCGATGGTGCACGTCGCAACAAACGCCTTAGTCCACTTGGCCACTCCGTCCCCAATATAATATATTGTATATTGAAATTGTAATATAGTGCTCCCGAAATGTCAAAATAAAACCCACCAAATTTTAAAATAATATTATTTATTTGAAATACTATGTAAAAATGTAAAAATACATTCACTTGATTATCCTAAACTACAATAGTTGTATTTAATATTTATTATTCACATTTCACAGGGTCACTTTCTACAATATTTATATATTTTATTGTAATGTAACAAAAGCCCGTTCCTTCAGTGGAATAATAAGTTATTTGGTTATTTTATTCGGACATATCCCTTTAAGAGATGGCATGCAATTCGAATAGATCCCTCCAAGAGACGGCATGAATATGGACATTCCAATTTATATTAATTTTTTTGGCATGCAATTTGGATGCACCAAAAAATAAAAAAATAGATAACAATATAATATAAATTGTTAACTACCTACTTACCGTCGTTTCGGATGTTTCTTAGATATAAACTCATTTACTAAACTTTTAAATATATTATTAGGTTGCGTTTCGTGGTATATTGATTTGACTCCTACATCTGTCCTGTAAATACCAAAGTTAAAATATAGGTATAAAAAATAATAAAATATAAAAAAATCCGTTAAAAGAAATTCCATACAAAATTGCTTTAACTTCAAAGTTGTGGGTTAAAATGTTAGCAACGAAATAATTTTTGACTTTTTGAAAACCTATTAAGCTCTTTTCATAATCGAATGCTAGTTTTAACTTTAATTCATCCATTTTCGATCGTTCTTCTTCAATAATTGAATTATGGATTCGTTCATCTAATTGAAAATAGTCATCAGAAAATTGCAATTGTTCTGGTAGTAACTTGTTGCTTGCTAAAACTTGTTCCAACTCTTCTCTTAACCCTCAAAATATTTTGACTTTTGTTTTAGCTATTTATAGACATTCGAAATTTTCAATTGATTTTTGTTTGTTTTTTCATAGATGCCGAAAAGTTAAAGCTATTGGTCAAAATACATAAAAATGTAATATATTGCTCATAAGTTCTTAATAATGGAATTAAAAAAAACTTGACTGTAAATCCACGATAGTTATATTTGAGCGTTTGAATTAAAATCAACAAAATCATGAATATTTGTATATAATTGTTAGTATACTTACCTTAAGTTTCATAATTTAATATAAGGTACCATGTAAGGTTTTCTCAAAAAAATTTCAAAGAAAGCTTTATCGTACTCATATTCAGTACAGTGACTTACATAATGTCGAGGTACACTAGACTCCAACTGTACAGCAGAGCTGTTACCTATAGTTACCCACTTCTATTGTGCTTATGTATAATATTATCATGTTATAATAATACATATTATTATTATTATATGCAGTTTATGTAATAATAAAATATGAACAGATACGAGAAGAAGGATAAGTCCAAAATGAAAAATAAGTTTCAAGGTTAACTATGCGTACCTAACATGTATTGGCCAAAAAAAAAAAGACTGCTAAAAATATTATAATAATGTCATTCCGGTCCGTCTTCGGGCCAATGGGAATCGAATTCGGTAACCTAAATACGGTGTACGGTCGTCGGTCTTATGCCACAGACGTGGTATATATAGAGGTATCTATTATTATTACGGAAAAACACATATTGTTACGATTCAACCAAAATCGCCTCGGATGAAATATGTGGAAGCTAAAGGACTTTTCGATAGGAACCTGGAATGTAAGATCATTGTATAAGGTAGGACATCTGACGACAGTTATATCGAGTCTTGAACGATATCAACTGAATATAGCTACGATTCAAGAAACTAGATGGCAAGGGCAAGGAAACCTAAAAATAAATAATTGGACCTACTTCTATAGTGGTGGACTGGATCATCAAGCAGGGGTTGGCTTTGTGGTAAACGACAATTTGTTACCTAACGTAAAACGTTTTGAAGCAATTAATGATAGAATATGCTATCTTGAACTAAAATGTAAATGGTATAACTTAATTATAATCAACGGCTATGCACCTACTGAAGATAAGAATGAAGCAAATGAATGAAGAATGAATTTTACGAAAGACTGGACACAGTGTGGGACTTACTACCAAATAGTAAAGTGAAAATATTACTTGGTGATTTTAACGCTAAAATAGGTCAGGAACCAATCTTCAGCCCGACAATAGGGAGTAATAGCCTACATTTGAACTCCAATGACAATGGGACGAGACTTATAAACTTTGCTATGGCTCGAGATATGGTAGTAAGTACTAAGCACTACCTTTCCCCATAAAAATATACACAAACAGACATGGGTATCGCCAGATGGGCGAACGAGAAACCAGATAGATCACGTAGTAGTAGATGGTAGATTTAAAAGATGTATAATGGATGTGCATAGCATGAGAGACAGTAGCGGAATATCAGACCATTTCATGGTGAAAACCAAAGTCAGATTAAGACTATCAATAAAATGGAAAGAGCGAAGAGCACCTGTCAAAAAGATAAACATTGAACCACTGAAGTACTCTCAGACGACAGAACAGTACAAAAATAGGTTAAATGATATACTGCGGCCAACGGAAAATGCGAGCAGTATAGATGAGATGTGGGAAAAAACCGAGAAGTCGATCAAGAAAATAGGAGAGGAAGTTCTGGGATATCAAGGAAAACGAGCAATAAATAAATGGTTTAACGAAGAATGCAAGACTGCCATTTTAGAAAGAGACGATGCAAGAACAACAATGTTAAGGAATCCAAGTGAAACCAATAAACGAGAATTAGCCTTAAAACAGAAAAGAGCGAAGCAGATAATCAGAAAAAAACAAAAGAATGTGGGAGAAAACTAGAATAGAAACTATCGAAAATAGCTACAAAAGTAACACAAAACTATTCTTTGAAATGAGGTTAAGAACGGATTTAAACCAAGATCAACGATAATGAAAGATGACCAAGGAACATTAAAAACTGATAAGGAAGAAGTAACAAGAGAATTCAAAAAGGTCTTCGCACAAATGTTGAATATATCAACCGAAACAGAAGCGGAAGACAATAATATTATCACAGTAGAGCAATATTTAGAAGAACCCACGTTGAAGAGGTTAAAATGGCGGTCGAAATGCTAAAGGGAGGGAAGGCACCAGGAGAAGGTACAATAATAGCGGAACTTTTAAAGAAAGGAGGAATTACTCTTATGATAAACTTAAAACAGCTGATAAATAAAATATGGAGAGAAGAAACAATACCGAAAGCATGGCAGGTTTCCATACTATGCCCAATATATAAAAAAGGAGATGTAATGAACTGTCAAAACTATAGAGGTATATCCCTGCTTAACACAACTTATAAAGTTCTCTCGAACATAATTTTAAATAGGCTAAAACCGTATGCTTAAGTGATAGTAGGAGAATTTATACCAAGCAGGTTTTACAACTGGAAAATCCACGACTGACCAAATACATGTCATCAAACAAATAAGCGAAAAGAGTCATGAATTTGATAAAGATGTTGACGCGGACTTCTATTGTGCCGCTTGGTGTGGTGAGGTGATGGTGGTGACCGACGGAGAGTCGGGTCGGAACAACAAACGGGATAATAAAAAAGATTATTAAAACACAACGAACAAACGAACGACGCAATGAGGTGTCACTTAAGTCTTTATTGTTACAAAACACAAAAGATTATTCAGTACATACGTTGGGAACCGGTAGCGAAATACGCGGAACGTGGGTGTGGGTTCGGGTGTGTACCGGACGGTGTCGGGAAGACGAGAGAGCGCGCCTTGACAATCCGGTTCGCTGGACGGCCGGCCGACGGTTCCAGGCGCGCGTGTCGCGCGCCGGCGTCGTCCGTCGTCGATTGGCGGTTTGATTGAGAAGCCGCGGCGCGGCTTCCGCGTCAATGTGTAATTGTTTTTTTGTAGATTTTAAACAAGCCTATGATTCGATAGCTAGGAGTAGGTTATGGAATGAAATGGTGCAACTTGGAATACCAGCTAAACTCGTTAGGATGGTGAAAGCGTGTATGGAAAACTCAAGATGCAAAGTTAAGTTCAACTCGGTATTATCGAAGGAATTTACAGTGACCACAGTGGTAAGACAGAGTGATGCCCTATCTCCGATCCTATTTAACAACACGTTGGAATCGGTAGTTCAATAAGTATTACAAAACGAGCCACAAGGTTTGAATATAGGGCAAGGAAAACAAGTGGTACGCAGATAATATAGCTGTTATAGCAGAGACAGAGGATAGTCTCAAGAGAACAACCGACATTTTAATTGATGCAGCGAAAAAGATTGGACTTATCATTAATGAGAACAAAACCAAATTCATGATTTTATCAAGGAGAGAACATCCACAAAATGCTTTAACAGTAAAATATTTGTCATTTGAAAGAGTTCGAAATTTTTAGTACTTAGGAGTAGATATAAACTCGCAGGGAGATAACCACGAAGAAATCCACAGAAGAATCGCAGCTGGAAACAGATGCTATTTTTCACTAGTCCAATTATTTAAGTCTAAAATATTATCAAGAAAAACAAAAATCCGATTATATAAGACCCTTGTTAAACCAATTGTACTGTATGCCTGTGGGGCATGGGCGTCTACTAAGTCTGACGAAAACAAATTAATGATTTTCGAAAGGAAAGTTCTGCGAAGAATATTTGGGCCGAAAAGAAATGACGAAGGTAGCTACGAGATAAGGTCAAATAGAGAACTCTATGCTCTATATAACGAGTCTAATATAGTTTCCACACTCAAGAGCCAGAGAATAAGATGGGTCGGTCACGTCTGGAGAGCAGAGGGCCAACTTATATCGATCATCACGAAATGGAAGCCAGATAAAAGTCGACAGAGAGGAAGGCCTAGACAACGATGGGAGGACCGAGTTAAGGAAGACCTCAGAATTCTAGGAGTATGGAATGGAGAAGAACAGGCAGCACACAGAGAAGCATGGAAGGAGATAGCGGAAGCGGCAATGGGCCTAAATGGCCTGGATTAAGCCTTATAATAAATTCCGTGATTGCTCCGGTGGTGATTTAATATTCTCGACGAACAACATTCGAATGTGCTTGCCATTTTTTGTGCGCCTGTCGCCAGAACGAGCGTGGCGGAAAACAAACGAGTTGTTCGCAATGTATTCGTGAATTTAATCTAGATAATAATATTATAATATAATCGCGGCCAAAGGTCAATTTCGGTTGACCATTGCACAAACCCGTTTGGCCGATTCGTTTTTGGGCCGATCTTCAATTATTGTATACTGGGTGATTCTTTTATCAAACAACACTCATTATTTCAAAAAGTGTACATTTTTTTACATAGTTTCAAGTCGCTTATAAAACAACGTTTTTATTAAAAAATTATATTTTTAAATATTTTTTATCCTTATAATTTTTTAAGTTTTTTACTTTTTTGAATAACAACATAGGGTTTTAATTTTATATTCCAAAGCAGAATATTTTTCTTAGTATTTTGATACATGAAAATCGAATTTGGGTTGAGTAGTTTATGAGTTATAAGTATTTAAAGTTTAGCCGAGAGAAGTGGAGTGGTTCGGGGTTACCCCGCGAAATGTTTGTCCACTTCACCGCTCGTCTAAACTTTAAATACTTATAACTCATAAACTACTCGACCCAAATTCAATTTTCATGTATCAAAATACTAAGAAAAATATTCTACTTTAGAATATAAAATTAAAACCCTATGTTGTCATTCAAAAAAGTAAAAAACTTAAAAATTATAAGGATAAAAAATAATTGAAACTATGTAAAAAAATATCTTCAAAAAAAGTTACACTTTTTGAAATAATGAGTGTTGTTTGATAAAAGAATCACCCAGTATTTTATGACAATAAGACGTATCCATCAAACCACCGTTATGCAAGTGACGCGGGCTACGGCGGTGCTGTGTGTCGCAGTAGTCCGTCTCGGGTGGTTTGGAGTTGAGTGTGTATATATGATATTCACTAACGTAATATAAAAAAAAAATGCAACGCGTCTTAAGTGGATGTTAGTTAAGAATTTCTCATTGTTAGTCAATTAAATAATACTATTATTATATTTTAAAACTGTTACCTAGCCAAATATTTTTATTCTTTATTGATCACTTCTAAAATTTTCTCAGCACTGATGCTTAAGTGTTGGACGTTGGTGGTTAACATATACATCATACATATATAGTGCTTACCTGTATCTATTATGTGTGTATAATACCTGAGACACAAACATATAGCTTTGGTTAGAGTTAAACATGGATTTTATCGTGCAACATTTAGAAACAACAACATAATATACAAGCTTCATCAATGTATAACTTTTCTCTCCTTTTCTATAAAAGAAAAAAAAATCATAAATTACTTAGGTTTTGTTAGTCCCTTAAATAAATAATACTAATATAGTATTAAATACTATAAAACAATTCGCTACACCAAACAAATTATCTAAAAAAATATTAAATTATACTTAGAAACTCCCAAACTTTGGGATGAGGCTTTATCAGCCTCAGCAGCGATGCATGGTAGCTTTCTACATAGTAATTTGTCCTAATGTCCTGGTTGAATACTGTTACAGCTGCTGGTCCCATTGTTATAAACCAATATCCCCAGATGTAATTAAACATAAATTGGTTTAATTGCAATGCCAAATATGGGAATTGGTTTACATACTCAACAATGCTATTAAAACCATCCTCTATTGAAGGTAAAACATCACCAATTTGTGTAGCTGGTAAGTATGGTAATGCTAAAATCTGAATGTTAAAACAAAATAAAAATATATTAATTAGTTACTGTAATTTGTGTATTGATAATGTGGTTAGGGTAAGGTCTAAAGATTAAATTAAAAATAATGAATGATATATAAAACTATAGTTTATTCTATAGACAAATTTTAGTTATTATACATTATAATAATTTTTATTAATTTTTACAAATTACTATTTGAAGCACACGAGCAGCATTATTGTCAGCTTTGAATAATTGAAATCAGTTGCTCCTCTTGTTTCTGGCATATCTTATTACTGCCTGACATAAATTATTAATTATTAATTACATACTATTAATTTTAATAGGTTCAGTGGAAGGTGTTTACTATTTACTTGACAGTAATGAAAGTAACACCCTTGGTGTTTACTTTCTGGAAAAACTAAATTTACTGCATTGGTATTAGCCCTTGCTCAAAATCAGTAATAATTGTGAGCTGATCATAACATAATGGAAGCACATTTCTTATGTAATGAAGTAATTCAACATAAATTTGTTGAGTTTTTCTAATTAGAAGGGCATGAACTAAAGGGAAACTCTGGAACAAGATAATGTATTGCATTATTCTATAGAATATATTATGTCATTGTAAGTATTTACAATATTCTATTTCCATAAAATAATTGTCGTTAAATACATTAGTATTTGTTGAATTAACAGGATATACTATAACGTTTTAACAATGAGTAGTGGAATAAAATATTAATTTAAATAATATGGATATTATTATTATTATTACTTAATATGAGTCATACTAAATTATTATGCTAGTCATAATAAATTAATATACTACCTAGTACACTACACAGATATATTGAAACTTACAACATCCTTGAATACAACTTGAAAAGAAAATAACTGATAGGTGTCATTTTCTAAAAATGTTAGTAGTCTTAAATGTGCCATCGCATCCTGCTACTTGGACCTAAAAATCCATAATAATAATTCATTAAATAACATTCATATAGGTACATTATTGATTTACTGTGACCGACATTTCTCAAATCTGGTGCAATTGCATTTATATTGGCTACATTACAAAAAATGACTCCACTCACTGTTCCCTCTACCAGCAATGGACCTTGATAAAAAATATTAAAATGGTTTGTTTTAATTCTTTTCTTATGTTTTTTGTTTAATAAATGAAATAATGAATATTGAATAGCCGTCAACAAATCGTGCAAGTTTGCCATGTTTCGTGGTGTCTGAGGGAAAAACGTAGGGGAACCCGGGGCAAGATGAGTACATGAGGTACGAACACGGACAAATCGCCGTCGCCGTTTAGCCGTCGCCGTTTCGCCGTCGCCACTTCGCCGTAAAACCATTTCGCCGTCGCCGTGAGGCCACTTCGCCGTTAAAAAAATTAACAAATTACACAAAATACACATTTTTCAATATTAATTTTTCGTCAATAGTATTTAATAATAATAATAATAATAATACATAAATAAAAATAATTTTAAGCATTATAAGATACCTGCATAACATACGTCAATATTTAATTATAATAAAAAGATCATTTCAAAGATATATTCTGAGAAATTCCTCGCAAAAATGATGTTAAACTAAGGTTATTGAAGTTACTCACAATTTTAATCAATCTTTTATCGACGTCTAAATATTTTTTAAATTTTTTTGGTGGACTTCTTCCCGCTTCCAATTGTGCGTAGTATGTATCGCGGCCAGATTGGATTTTACGCAGACTTGAAATAAACGACCACAATGTTGGATGGTTGACACCCATTTCAGTATTTAATCTAAAGAGTACTATGATTAAAAATATATTTTTGTGATTGTAATTAATTGTTAATTATTTTTAATTACCTCCGGTTGGCAGCTTCGGCATAATTATTTGTTCGGTCTTGACCAACGATAACTCGATCGTGTACATTCCATAACGACGGGGGGAAAAGTGCTGGTTTACGTCCATTTTTTGATCTATTTTTGCGGCCAATGTAGTTATCCTCAAACCAATCCAAAAGATCTTGTAACTCGTCTGGTAAATACTCTGCTAGCTCATCTACGGCTTTATCAATGTCTTCAATTTTCACAAAAGCTAATGCAGTTATCATTTTAACGGAGAGAGCAAAATCTGCATTATTATTGTAATTTGAAATCAAACCTAAACTGCACATTTTTAATCGGAAATTTTTCGTCAGATGATACAGACATCCATTGATTTGAGCGTTTGGAAAAGCATCTTTCATAGATATTATAGCAGCATTTTCAAAATCACACGATATAAAATCAGGACATAAATCGGGTTTTAATTGTTTTAATCTATGAAAAAGTTGCTGGTATGTTTTAGCTTGTTTATTTGGTAAAAGTGCATAGATAAGAGGATGTACGCCTCCAATATCTTTAGCCAGTATTACGTAAACTTGCGCAAAAAGAGGAGGCGCAATCTTAAATGTTCCGTCACAAAACCATATTTTTGATCGTTCTAAAATATCTAAACTGCTTAATCTACCAAAAATTAAAATTCTATCTAGACCTGGCCCACTATCATCGAGTAAAAATTTCTCATTCACACCTTCAGATGGTGAATAAATTGTGTACGCTTCTGGAATTATCAGAGAAATTAAATCTTTAGGTGCAGAGGGAGCTTTTACAATTTGTTGACGTATACGCCTAATTTTTTTTTTTAATGCACAGGTTGACGTTAGCGTACCCTAAAAAATATTATAATTATATAATTATTTTTTTATTGGCGCAAAAATATTGTATAACTTACTTTAGCTGCTTGTGAAAGTCCAGTCGTACATTCGCTCAATACTATTGATGTAGATTCTAACGTTTGCTGGGATCGAATTTTAATTTTAGTCACTGCAACTTCTGCTTCAACTGCCGCGGCATCTGAGTCATGAGAGTGCTCATTGATTCGTTTTAACACTATCAAATCGTCTACATTTGTGTGAACTCGAGATTTACAGATGTTTCTTTTCCTACATCGCCAAAAACGTTTTTTCCCGTCAGCACTAAACGCATCGAATACAAACATAAAACCATTATCTACAAAAACGTTACGCCGACGAATAGTTTCTACGCCTGCCATTTTGGTACTGGCGAGCAAATATAAATTCCATAATACACACTACATAGTCCACTAAGAAATATCTGTTGGATGTTATTTTATTACTATCTTAATTCTACCTATTTTCGTTTATCGCTAAACGCGATTATAAGCTATGATAAACCTCATACACACAAACTCTGCAGCACATCTAAACCTTCAGATATCGGAACATGATAAACTATTTAGGGCCCATATTACAATAGTCGATTACACTTCGATTATGTATATAACTATTGTAATACGGCACTTAGACGTCGATAAAAGATTATTATTATTATATATTATTGACGAAAAATAAAAATATTTTTTATTATTATTGAATATTGGAATGTGTATAATGAGAAAATGTGTATAATAAATAATAATAAGTAAAATACTCCAAATTTTTTTTAACGCCGAAGTGGCCTCACGTCGAAACGGAGACGGCGAAATGATTTTACGGCGAAGTGGCCACGGCGAAATGGCAGCGGCGAAACGGCGACGGCGATTTGTCCTAGATCGCATGAGGTAAGATGGGACAGCGTTATTCCTCCATAACTATAAATAATAATATGTTTGAAACCTCTTTGGAATATCTTATGGAGGCATATCAGATAATGTTGATAATATTTTTATGATAACTGTTTGATATGACATAATATCAGCGTTTTTCTATTTTCGTCAAAAATTGGCTAATATTAACAAAAGTTCAACGCAATTTTAAGGTAAGAATAGTTTATTAATACTTAACGAATACTATTCTAATATATTTATATATTTCTGTAGATTAGTTTTATGTATTGTTTAATATTTATTAAGTGTTAACTACCTAGTTTTGTTCGATACAACATAATTAGTCTATTTGGGGCATAATGAGACAGGCCATGTGGGGTATGACGGAACTGTCCCATTTTGCCCCTTGTACATTTACTTTGATCGTTTATTTTTAAAAGTATTTTATAAAATATAGTACCTACCTACTTAGTAAAATTTACTGATTTTTCAATTAAATTAGTTACTTACACAAAAATGGTTAGAAGTTATGTACGTAAAAGTCAACGACAATCATGGTCTTTAATATCCATGAACAAAGCTGTCGATGAAGTAATTGAGAAGACTATGACTTACAGAGAAGCTGAAAATGCCTATGAAGTTCGCAGGAGTACACTGTTAAGAATGGTAGGTATCTAATTATAATTATAATATTATAGATTATTTTATAAATAGATAAATTAGTAATTACCCATGTTACTTTTTATATAAAAAAATATTATATTATATATTATTATTATTATTATTTTAATGTTAATTGGTTAAGTTAAGTAAAAATTATTTTTAAAGGTAAAAAAGAAAAAAGAAAATACAGAGGTATTAAAAGCAAAGATGGGTCCTTTAACTACAGTATTTTCTGTTAATGAAGAAAAAGAGTTAGTTGCTTACCTCAAATTAATGGAAGGAAGACTTTTTGGTCTAAGTTCAGGGGATTTTAGAAAACTGGCTTACCAACTTGCAATAAAAAATAATAAAAATCATAATTTTAATAATGATAAAAAAGAAGCTGGTTATGACTGGCTCAAAGGATTTTTAAAGAGGCATCCAGACTTATCACTTCGAGTACCAGAAAAAACATCAGCAGCCAGAGCTATGGGTTTCAACAAACCAGTGGTTACAACATTTTTTCGTTTGTTGGGTGAAGTGCTTGATAAATACAAATTTCAATCAGATAGAATTTTCAACTGCGATGAAACTGGAATTAGTAATGTGCCAAAATCAAAATCCAAAATCTTAGCCTCAAAAGGTCGTAAACAAGTTGGATCTCTAACATCAGCAGAACGAGGACAAACAGTAACTGTCGAACTCTGTGTAAGTGCTTCAGGCATCTATATGCCCCCCCATGATGATATTTCCCAGAGTACGTACAAATTTGGAATATCTGCGCAATTGTCCACCAGGGCTGAATTCCATCCATCAGGTTGGATGCAAACTGATATATTTTATAGATGGCTAGAAAAATTTATTCAGTTTACTCATGCTTCTAAGAATAATCCAGTTCTGTTGTTATTAGATGGTCATGCAACACATACAAAAAATATAAATTTGATAGATTTAGCTAGAGAAAATGGTGTTGTGATGTTATGTTTTCCTCCTCATTGCACTCACCGCCTACAACCTTTGGATGTTGGAGTGATGAAACCAATATCTACTTATTACGACACAGAAGTCACCAATTGGTTAAGATCGAATACACCAAAAGTAGTAACCCTAAAAGACATTGGAGAAATATTTGGAAAGGCATTTATGAAAGCAGCAACAATGTCAACAGCAATTAATTCCTTTAAGAAAACAGGTATTTTTCCATTTAATGATAATGTTTTTGAAGATTCTGATTTTATGCCAGCTGAAACCACACATATACCAATAACTGAAATGTCTCCTGATTCCCTGAACTCTCCAACCATTATACCATTCAACAGTGATCCTAAAAATACTGACCCTTTGGTAGAATTGTTAGACAATTTACCAGACACATTAGAGGACATTAGTAATATTAATTTTGATATTAATAACGTGCAGCCTAGTTGTTCAAACACTCCTCAAATGAAAGTATCAGATGGTACAGTATTTGAACATGTATCACCCAAGGATGTCATGCCTATTCCACATAGGTCAAATGAAGAAAACTCAATTCCAAAAAGAAAAAGTTTAAACAGAGGAAAAACAGTTGTTCTTACATCATCACCATACAAAAATGAGCTGGAAAAAAAAACAAAAATGAGTGAACCTGAGGTAAAAAGGAAATTGTTTAAAAAAAACCAATTAAATCAACCACGAATAAGAACAAGAAAAAGAGGGTCAAATTATCCACAAATAATGATGATATCTATACAGAATTCTTGTATTGTGGACATACATATTCTGAATCCAATGAAGGCTATATTTGTTGTCAAATATGTGAGAAGTGGGCTCATTTGTCATGTTCTGGGAAGGACGATGAAGAAAACACCACATTCGCTTGCGAAAATTGTTTGTAATATCAAACAATTCTTATATGAGAAAAGTAAACAGTTGTGATAAAATAAATTTATTGTTTTTTGTTTATAAATACTTTTAGATTGTACTGTTATTTACTTCACAATTTATATAAAAAAAATAACTAGGTAAGTATTAATTGTCTTGAGTAATTTTTTAAAACCAAAGACTAGCCTTATATTGTAACATAAAGACTAATCAAAATGCAATGTTTTTAGTTTTAATAATACATTTAAATTGTACTGTTATTAATTTCACAAAAAAATTTTACCAATTAAAAATTTAGCTACTTATTTATAAGTCTTAAGTAGGTGATTTTATTCAACTAAAGACTGATGTTTTAGATATTGTAACATTAAAAGACTAAATAAAGCTAGGTACTAAGTATTTTTAATTTTTTAAGTTTCTAATTCTATTGTTATTTTTTGATCAATTTTACATTAAAAACTGTTGTTGCTCATAATTTTAAGTATCAAAATGTTTGTTCAAGTATTGCCAAAGTTAGGCTAAAAATAAAATATGTTTGTGCAATATTTATGTCTTTTTTTTTGTAAAATTCTTATAAATAAGTTCCTATGTAGATATATTTGAAAAATATATCTGGCGTGCAATTTATCTGTCTCATCTTACCCCATCGTGTGGGCAAGATGGGACAAAGTCCGTTTTTTTTTTACTCAAGTTTTTTGATTTCAATAATATTTTTAAATATTTTAAAGTGAACAATTTTTTAAGTAATGAACGTTGACTAATAAATGGTACATAAATTGAGAATTTTTCTTAAAAATTCAACATACAACAGCAAGTTAAGCACTAAGTGTCTCGTCTTGCCCCGAGTTCCCCTACGTCTTAAACGCCGCATCGTCTCTACACTCTGTACAAATGTATAGTTCTCTGCAGCCTCTAGAAAGCTAATTCATACATCGTATCAAAAACAAGTAAATAAGGATATCAAAACTAACCATCACCTATCCATAGTTGCATACCTTTTGTAAAAACTGTACAAAAAAAAACTTACAAAATAAGCAAAAACTAGTTTATAGGTAGGTACTAACTTTGCAATTGCTTGCATATAAATTCCACGTGGAGTATATGAGTTTATTGTTTTTTCTAAAGCTCTCTCAGTTATCTCCTGCAGTGGAACATTGAGATTGAACTCTCTGACACCATGACAATGGCGCTTTGACAGTATCATCGTTGCGGTCCGGAGATATATGAGCAGTTGCATGGCACTGTCCTTCCAATTTTTTTTCGTAACATGACAAGTTACTAAAATGTATGTTTATAATTTAATATACTTTTGTTTAATAATAAATTTTATAGTTAATACTCACATTTTAGTATCTGTTACTTTATTCTTATAATACATGAACCCAAGATTATCTCTTATAATTTCTGTGCCTATTTGAATGCCTAGAACTACAGTGTAGCAGTGGCGCCGAACCCATGTATTAGGTGTGGCAGCCGCCACACCTATTTTAAGGGGTGGGTATACAACCAAAATTGGTGGATAATCGTAATCCTAAGTGTAAAAAGATATTGTACAAATATAAGAAAGATGACTTCCTAGTGTGTCACAGCGTGCAGGTGTACTGTGTGATAACATTAGAAATAGCCAATAACTAATAATTTTATTAATAGTTTTACCATTAAAACATAAATTCTTGTATTTATAATCAATAGTATTATGTAAAAAGTCAAAATCTCTGATAATACAGTACAATGAGTACATTTACTTTTTTATTTTACAAGTGATAAAACAATTAGTACCTACATATCAACTGAAATAGCTTGGGTTATGGCCCTCCGGCACATATGAACAATTTTATTTTACAACGATTTGTGTTTTTATATTTTATTTTTATTTTATGTCTGCAATCACCTATTATGTCAGTAAAAATGGTTCACATTTCTACTTCAGCATCTTTTCTGATAGGAAAGTGAAGCAATTTGATACTTTGTTGAGTCAAAAATCAAAAGTAAAAAAGTTCCCAGTAATTTTCAAAAGCGTCGTGAAAAACAAAAAAAAATTAACAAATATAAAAGTAATTTTTACACAAAACCAGTTGTCGACAAAATCGATTGTGTTTTTCTGTTGCAACTCAAAAATGAATAACCGTAAAAACTTTATATTTTGACAACATTTTTATATAATATATAAGAATTTTCCTGAAAGATATTTCCTACAAGATATTCAAAATATATAGACTCTTTTTGAGCATTAAACATTTTTATTTTAATTATCATCGATAAATAATTTCCTCTCTCGGTCAAGTTGAACATAGATCCACAATATATTATTTTCAATATGGGTCCTAAAGTTGAAACTTAAACAAAATTCATTTAAAATTGAGAAAATTAAAAAATTTTCGACTGTCTACCAAAGAAAAATTAAAAGAAAACCTTACCAGAAAGTCACATTAATTTGTGTTAAGACTTAACTAGATAAATGTATGTATAAAATGTATGCTGTATGATGTCAAAAAATCATTGGGGGTAAAATAAATGTTACCCCCTCTCGAATAAGTAATTGGGGCAACACTGAAAACTATATACCACGGTCCTTACAAAACATAAACTTTAGGTTATCTACATCGTGGGCAACATCTTATATTCATATTATAACCTCCCTGCATGACGAGCAAACATCGTAGAATAGTCTAGTTGTTGCATAGAATATCCCTGCATAGTGCATTACCTTTGCCGACTTGTCGCTGAAATTGATCACTTCCAGCCCTTGCCACACAATAAACTATTGTATATACCTACAAGTAATACCTGAAGTATCTTCAATGACGTTATATTCCTACCTATTATTATTATTTTTTTATTAATTAACCCGCGGCAACTATTAGGCCATTGAGTGGTTTTTACTGTGGGGGAGGGTACTGTAAGTTTTAAACACGTGTGTTTTTTTTCTTTTGGCAGATTTTTTAGTGGGCAGCCGTAGGTATCTGCCATGCCCGGATGGGGGATGGTGGCACTTTTCTCCGGACACCGTGACTTGCCCGAAGTAAAATGCCACCCGCGGCCGGCATCGAACCGGCGCCAGTGTGCGTCGCAACCGAGGCTTTAATCCGCTCGGCCACTCCGTCCCTCATTATTATTATTATGATATTATTATGACGTATAAACAGTAAACACTACGTCACATATAACATTGATATTATGCCATGTTGGCTAGTATTGATATTTGTTGACGACGATTGTGCCTATACACTGTTTAATCGAATAGAATTAGTTTATTTATAATATTGTGATACTTTGACAGTGAAATTGTTTCCAAGAAGCATTTAACTTTTTTTAAGTTTGGTATTTATATAATATAGTGTTTGAATTAAAGTAAAGCAAAGTAATGTTTTCAATTAATTTAATTATTTTTCTTCGTCTTAAAATAGCTGCCAACACAGTACTTAGAGTGCTAAGTTTCACGCGTGAAGTGATATTCCGTCAACCAATTAAGATGTGACTGCAGGTCGTAGTTTAGATTGCATTAATTAAAATTAATTATACAATTATAGGTGTACTTATAGGATAGATTTGATAAGCTAGATTTATTCAAAAACAGCTTTTAGTTAAATAATTTATCAGCGAAAGGCCCATCAGCCATGGGCTCGTTATATTATATGTTTATAATGTATACGAGCATAGGCGGAAATGGGGGGGGGCTTGGGGGGACTTCTAGTTCTTAGCTATAAAAATTGAACATTATATACATTTTTAAATACAAAATAATTTGATAATGTTCGCGATTATGATGGATTTCGGCAAAATTTGAATTTAAAATGCTCATAAAAAAATGTGTGCCTTTAATTTGTATATGTTTATTACCTACTTTTGAACTTCTAATATGAAATGACTTATGGTCTATGGGTAAATTTTCAAGTTTTTTTATTCAGCAATCCTTTCATTATCCTTTTTTAATACATTATATATTTTTTAATTATTATAATAGGTACCTAGGTACATACTATTTGTATACCTTTATCAAATTTCTAATAGATCTATATATATTTTAGGTTTTTTAAAATGTTGAGCAATGAATAAATACCTAATAACCGGTACACATTTGATCCCTAACGATTATTAGGTAATAATTGAACATAAATGGACATATTTAATTTTCCTTTTTTTTTTTCATATATACTGTCATACTCTGTATAGTAGATACGTTATAAGAATATACATATATATATACAATTATTAATTCGAATGTTTACATTAAAATTGTATTTGACTATGATCCATTGATCCTATACCTAGTTTATTATTTCTATGATTAATTAATAGTTAGGTTAACTGTTTAAGTCTTGCTAATACCAAATAACATAACGTACCTAGTCTAATATATTTTAACTATATTTCCGAAACCTTAATTTTCTAAAATATACAAGTATCTATATTAGAGCCTTTCAAAATCACCTTTTAAATATGACTGTCAAGTAATTTTAATATTTGATTTTATCGATGTGGCAACGATCAACAAATTATTAAATTTACAGTAATCTGTATATACCATTATATATTTTACTACTCAGTACTATTGCTATATTAAGGATTGTAATATTGTATACAATTTGTTTATATGTCAAATGTTATATAATATAATACATTTGCAAGAATTTAAACTGGTAAATATAATATAAACATATAATAATAATAATATACAATTTAACGTGGATGGTATTAGAGTTCATTGAATGGTGACCTGGTGAATTGCGGTGATTGGACGCAGTCACTAACATAATGTGTGCGGAGGTCGAGCAGGCTCCCAGATGGGTGACCACCAGGCACCAGGGTTCTTTGCGACGATCTATCTGTCTCACATAAAAAACGCGTACCAACCGTAGTCGCCACACAAACCGAATGGAGTGTCAAAAAAACGAAGTTCATTTTATGATTTATTTTTGAGCTTCTCGCATGACATAGTGAATTGCAAGTTAAAAATAATGGTGTGGAATATTGTCCACAGTAAAAACTAGCTAATAACAATGTAGTTTGAAGTCTTAAAAACATTGATACTTTAACCTCCTATAGTTATTTAC